ACATAATATGGACATTTGGGTTGTTTTCACTTTTTGGCTATTATGAAGAATGCTGCAATGAACATTCATGTACAAGTTTTTGTGTGGACCTAAGTTTTCGGTTCTCTTGGGTGCATACCTAGGAGTGGAATTGCTGGGTCGTACGGTAACTCTGTTTAACCTTTTGAGGAACTGCCGGACTGTTTTCATTTTACATTCCCACAGTATAAGAAGGTTCTGATTTCTCCAAACCCTCGCCAGACTTGTTATTGTCTGTCTCTGATTTTAGCCATCCTCAAACACATGGGGTGGCATTCCATTGTGGTTTTTTTGTGTGTGTGTGTGAGGAAGATTAGCCCTGAGCTAACACCTGTTGCCAATCCTCCTCTCTTTGCTGAGGAATATTGGCCCTGGGCTAACATCCGTGGCCATTTTTCTCTACTTTATATGTGGGATGCCGCCACAGCATGGCTTAATTAGTGGTGCATAGGTCTGGGCCCAGGATGCAAACCTGTGAACCCCGGGCCGGAAGTGGAGTGCGTGAACTTAACTACTACGCCGCAGGGCCTGCCCCTCATTGTGGTTTTGTTTTGCGTTTCCTTGATGGTTAATGATACTGAGTATCTTTACATGAGCTTATTAGCCATTTGTGTGTTTTTGGAGAAATGTCTGTTCAGAGTCTTCGCCCATTTTAAACTGTGGTTAATTGTCCTTTTTATTATTGAGTTGTAAGAGTTCTTTATTCTGGATATATGATTTGAAAATAGTTTCTCTCATTCTGTGAATTGCCTTCGCTTTCTTGATGGTATCCTTTGAAGCTGAAGGTTTTAAATTTTGTCCAATTTCTCTATTTTTTTCCTCCTCCTTGTCCTTTTGGTCTCACGTCTAAGAACTATAGCCAAACTCAAGGTTATGAAAATCTATACCTGTGTTTTCTTCTAAGAGGCTAATAGTTTTAGCTCAGACATTTAGGTCTTCGATCCATTTTTTTGTTAATTTTGTGTGTGATGTGAGGTAGAGGTCCAGAGGCATTATCTTTGGATCCCCCCCCTCAAAATACCCAAGCTTTTAATTTTTCAAACAGTTATATTTGTGATTTTCTTTTGATTTAAAATATTGAGAGGGCAATAAATTATTGTAGATTTGAGGCAATCACTAGCTGCCCTTGGGTCGATTTTTATAGATGCTTGCTGATTACAGGAGTAACTGCCGTCCCCAGAATGTACTAAGCAACCCACGGAAGTTAGGATTTCCTAAAGGGCCTGGGGAGAGGGGGAGTGACTAGTAGGGTCAGGAACTGGATAGGAAATTGAGCCCGGATGGTCCCCAACGTACGATGGTTCATTCGACTTAGAGGTTTTCGTATGATGGCACGAATGCGATAAGCATCCAATAGAAACTGTACTTCGAATTGTGAATTTTGGTCTTTTCCTGGGCTAGCGATATATGGTAGGAAATTCTCTCATGGTGCTGGAGCCACAGCTCCCAGTCAGCGATCACGAGGGTGAACAACCCATACGCTTACCACCATTCTGTACCCATCCAGCCATTCCGTTTTTCACTCTCAGTGCAATATTCAATCAGTTACGTGAGATGTACAACCCTTTAAAAATAGGCTTTGTGTGAGATGATTTTGCCCAACTGTAGGCTAATGTAAGTGTTCTGAGCACATTTAAGGTAGGTTAGGCTAAGCTAGGATGTTCAGGAGGTTAGGTGTATTAAATGCCTTTTTGACTTAGGATGTTTTCAACTTACAATGGGTTTATCGGACGGAACCCCATTGTATGTTGAGGCAGGTCTGTATGGGGGAGGCTAGCAAAGCATTTTCCCTCTGGTTCCTAATGCGTGACAAGCTGCACGCTGAAGTCAGTGGCTCGTGCCTGTGACCGGCTTGTTCCTAGGGAGCAGGGGCATTTTATTCATCTGATCTGTAAGTCGAGCAGTGTGGTGACCAGTCGAGGCTGTTGTATAGGCTCAGGGAAAAGGTGGTGAGTTGGTCTTGGGGAATCGGAGTCTGGATCTCGGGCAGTAACCTGATCTGTGCGTTAGGAGCGCAGGCTGCTTCTGCTCTGCTCCCTGAGTGGGCCCACTTCAATTCCCCGTAGCCGTCATCGTGCTGGGTTTCCTCCCAGCCACATCCTGATCCCTTCAGGGAGTGTTTTTCTCATATTATTTTTTTAAGAAACGGTAAGAGAATTTTATTATTTTTAGCAATGTCATAAATTAGAATGAACAAAAAATGAACATCCGTGAGAATTATAGCAAACAGAAAACGTATACCAGCAGTCGAGGCCATCGTGTCTGTTTGCATTAAGAAGAAACTTCATACAGTTATGAATCTTTAGACACTTCTTATTTTTGTGGTTTCTCCATGTGTCTGAAAATCGGTTGAGCTTTTTGGTTAGTAAAATGCAAATCTCTCCATCCTCTTTTCAGAGTCCCTTACGAAACCCTGTCGTGTTGGGAGCATTTCAGAGAGATTCTCAAAGGCTTTCCCCACATAAGGATTTGCGCAGAGTGCCTGTCAACAGACATCCTTCTGAACTTTTTACCTTTAATCTCTTTACAGACAGAGTCATTCCCAAATGCCTGGAAACTCCTCATCAGATTACTGTGTTTTCAGCAGAGTTTTGTGAACGGCCTTTTCTCTTCAACCAGGAAGAAGGTTTGTGCATTGTGAACATTCTGTATTCTCTCCCCTTAGCTGGTCAGGGTAAATCCTTTATCAGGAGAAGGAGGGAGTGTCTTCCCGCTGAGTTTGCAGAGATAGGGACAGTAATTTTCCGGGAGGAAATTTCCTTGTTTAAAAACTGAAGTCAAGTTTCTAGTGTTGCCTGTGGTTTAGAAAGAGAAGGGGCTTCCAGAAAACTCTGGAGTGGAAGAACAGGAAGGACCCCTGGTGGTCCCAGGGGAGTGATCTGGCCTCTTGTACCTGTTCTGTGGAAGGTGGGAGGAGCCACTAGGCGAATGTAATGGAGCACGGAGAAGTGCTCGCCCTGCCCACCAGTGAAGCAGGCTTCCAGAAAGATCGGCGAGATTGGGCTCTGCTAATGTTTTCCTGATGAGTCTGAAAAAGTAGCAGGCAAAGACGTCTGTTTTCCCCTTTGCCTTGGGGGAAAGTTAGCCTAGTGGGCCCTTTTGTCTGACCGTTTTCTCAGTGGTTGGAGCTGCAGGCAGCTGAAGTCCCGCAGATGGGCAGCCCTTGTCTAGAACAGTGTGGTGCTGTGGGGCAAACTTGACTGGGGGAGGCAGAGACTGGGCAGATGATTTGACTTCCGGGTTACAGCTGTTTCTTCGCTGGGAAATGGGCGCATCGGGACGAGAGTATCTGGTTGTGCCTTCCAGGGCTGAGGTTTTCGTCTGTTTGCTCTCTAAGATTGTGTCAATAGCAGATTACATCTGGGACATTCTTGCCGTGCTTTGGGACGGGGAACGAGTTTCGAGGTGGCCTTGAAGGGGCGTTGTTGGTCCTGCCCTGGCTGGCAGCAGACAGTTCCCTGTCTGCTGAAGTCAGCAGCGGGAGTCCCATCTGGACACTTGGGAGCACTGTGCCCTGATGCGCCCCTCGCCACCACCTTGCGTCTGGACTTGAGACCCAGCAGCGCTGGAGGATGGACCTAGATGGGAGATCCTCAGGCTTGCGAAGGCTTTCGTCCTGTCTTCATTCAAGCCACAGAAGGCATGAGTTGGGCATCCTCAGTTCAGACCCCTGGATGGAGCTTCCAGTTGATTGAATTAAAATGGTCTTTCAGTTGCTTACTGGCCTATGTGAAGTTTTATTAGTACTTTTGTGGAAAATGCATCAATTCTTTTCATACATGGTTTTCTTTTGAAAGCCTTAAAGCTTAGATTTTACCTTTGCAGTTAATGAAAAGAATTATCTGGTTCGCGTCTGCAGCTGTTTCATTGTTCTCTATGCTGGATAAAAACCTTATCATCTTAAAGCGCCGAGGAAGAGAGGTGACAGCCCGTCCTCAGCTTGCCGAATACAGGAAACGTTGGCATTTTATATGCTGTTTCCCCAAATTGATGGCAAAGCAGCCCTCTAATAAATTACCTGAAACTTTTATTTAAATTGTCAGCATCTGAGTTAAGAGAAATCACTGTTACATTTCCAGTAAGTACTTGAAATCAAAATGGATGCTCTTTTTCTTAAAATTGTGATAAAAAATATGTGATGTAAAATTTACCGTTGGCGACATTTAGTCCATTCACAGTGTTGGGCAACCCAAAAGGGATGCTTATTTGTTTGGGCAGCACTGGTGTCGTAAGACTGTGGAACAGGGCTGTGTTCCCAACCAGTGAGGTAAGTGCACGTGTGACTTTTTTATCTTCCAGAGAACTTTCTCCCTTGAGTTGAAGCCAGAGTGTTCCTGGTGTGTTTCTGACGCTGTTTGAGAGCAGTGTTAGAAAGTAGCATTACCTCTCTTGTTCCTCTGCTGTCCTGCCAGCACAGGGCTGCGAATGGCTGGTGGGGCACGCAGCTCCCGGCCTCCCGTGCTGTCTTAGAGCTGGTGTGGGTTTGCGGTGGAAGGAGCTTCTCTGGGGCCCCTGCGAACGGCTCTCCCAGGGCTCCTAACCCCGAGCTGCTCTTTCAGATGTGGAAAGCTTCGGCCGGCCACACCGTGTCCCTCAGCCAGGACGACGGGGGAGCCGATGACTGGGAAACCGACCCCGACTTTGTGGTATGAGTCACCGCCTAGCTGCGTTTTACTTTTCCTGACGGTGACTCCCTGGGTTGGTTGGTTGTTTTACAATCCAGAGTGTGGGCTTTACTCGTCATTTATTTTCCTTTTCAGAATGATGTAAGCGAAAAAGAACAAAGATGGGGGGCCAAAACTGTGCAGGGATCTGGGCACCAGGAGCACATCAAGTAAGGGACTTTTTTTCTTTTTTCTTCTTCTTTTTTTTTGGTGAGGAAGATTGTCCCTGAGCTAACATCTGTGCCAGTCTTCCTGTATTTTTTGTATGTGGGATGCTGCCACAGCATGGCTTGATGAGGGGTGTGTGGGTCTGCACCCAGGATCTGAACCTGCGAACCCCAGGCCACCGAAGCAGAGCTCGAGAACTTAACCACTACGCCACTGGGCCGGCGCCAGAGACTATTAATATTGGTGTGAAAATGATGTTTTGAAGAACGAAGAAATAATTGAGGCAGGGAACACTGACCTCTGATTCACCCATGTGATGCCTTCGTGTGTCAGAATTGCGTTTGTTTTATGTGACCTGTTTATACAGTCGATAAGTGTGAGAAACGATGTGTGTATTTATGTATGTGTTTGTGTATGTGTATAGACATGTGCTCAGTAACTTAAAAACTCCCATTGCAAATGGTTTTTGTACTGACAGTTCTAGAGAGTCTACTTTCAATGTTGTGGTCTTCCTCGAGGAACACCGTCACCTCAGCTCTTATTTCTACAGGTGGGAGGTGTCTGACGTATGAGATGCCTTTGAACACCTTAGAGCCTAGACACTTCCCCGTAATTTTATTATTTTATTATAATTTTGTTATTTTCTCATTGTCTTTTGGGCTGAGTTCCAAGCATTGTGGTCTCATAAAAGCCCAAAATAGGAGACATGAGTGATGCGTGTCACTGTTCCTGACTTGGTGCTCTCCGAAACCACCTTCTCTGGGGTAGTTGGTTTTCTTGGCAGAAAGTGTAGATAAAAGGAACTTTTAAAATGTGCCCGGACTTTTATTTTAGGCTGTGCTGGCTTCAGAGTGTGTCCTCTAATTCCCTCACCATGGCGGCATCCTCGCTGACTGGGGGCCTTCCGGTTCCCTCACCGTGGTAGTCATGCTTGGGAGGCACCAGATAACGAACCTTGCAGATTTGCGAAGATAACGTCACCTGTGCTGATTTGTCCCCCTAGAAGGAGGGGATGCTCGTCCATGTTATCGATTTGTTCCTATTCCTCTCTTCCCTTCAAGCATACACAAGCTGAGAGAGAATGTTTTTCAAGAGCACCAGACCCTTAAGGAGAAGGAGCTTGAAACAGGACCAAAAGCCTCCCACGGTTATGGAGGGAAGTTTGGCGTGGAGCAGGACAGAATGGACAAGGTGGGTGGACGACACCGTGCGGCCAGTGTCGTGCTTTGACCTCTGGCGTGGCTGGCAGAGTAGGCACTGAGACCTTTTCCGCAGATTAAGAGTCCTGACTCAATTTGTTGAGGATGCGATTTGCCAAAAGTAATCCGCTGTCGATTGACCTTACTCGTAAAGTGCTCTTGCTTTCGAGAAGCTCTTCTAAGATTCTCAGAGTTGCTGGAGAGTGGGTGATGTGTAGGGAGGCCCAGAGGGGGAGATGGGCTCCCCCAGGCCAGCTCTGTGACCAGGACAGAACTCCAGAAGCGTCTTGACCACAGGTGTCGTCACCACTGCCCGCGGTTCACCGTGCGGCCAGTTGCACCAATCTGCAGGCCAGAATCCAGTCTGGGCCCCGAGTTTCACGGCACGGGTGGGAATTCAGCCCACAGGCGTGCTGACGCCCCTCATGCGTTTAGTGACCTTCAGAGAGTAGCCTGGCACGGGCGGGGGAGCACTCACTCTATTTAAGAGCTGTGGGTGGCCCTCTTGTGAGCTGTCACTGATAGAATTTAGACGTCCAAGTCCCTGATGGTGGGAGGTGGTGACCAAGTGTATCAGCCTTTGACGGTACTTGAGCTCTTTTCCACCTTAAGAGAAGGGGAGGGCATCAGCTCAGGAGGGCTGATTCCCCCCACTGGGGAGGAGACAAAGTAGGTTGCGGTGTCTGCATGCTTCTGCAGGGAAGCGGAGTTTGACATTCTGCAGCCGTGCCTCCTGTGGAGGTGCACTTCCCAGGCTGAGCATCGTGAGTTGGTTCTGACCCGACAGGTGTTTGCCTTTATTTTGCGTTGAAGGAAAAGGATCAGCTGGTGTCGCGTGCTGCTCTGTAATTCCACACCTGTTCCCCTCGTGCCTGGGTCGGATTCTGTGTCCTAGGACGACACAGCTGTGTCCCAGTGTGCCACACCCTGTCACCACAGAGGAGATATGTGGGGGCCTGTGGGCTCCCCAGACCAGGTTTACAGTTAGTCTGGAGCTGGAGTCGGATGAAGGGCAAGCTGCAGGAAAGAGACAGGACGTTTCCCAGCGTGACGGTGTCGTTCCTGAGACTTCTTGACGGGGCAGGTGGGGAGCACAGTCATCTTTGGGTTCTAAAAAAGTCTGTGGCTTTTAGTAGTGCAAACAGACAGACAGACACCCGCTGTGTTCAGGGCAGTGGAAGAATCAAGTAGGTAGAAGCCTTTCCCACCCCAAACAGAGCCTACGCTCACGGGATTGGGGGGGTTAAAGCAAGAGAAATTCATTGTAAATTTGGGCCCCCGACTCTGGGTTGGGAAAGTGACACATGGGGGAAAATAATGAAACTGTGTCCAGGAAGAGCTTGATAACAAGCCTGTTGTCATTTCTGGCTTCTCTGCTGCTGCTGGGACTGCCCCTTTTGTCGTGACCCTCACTCCTGGCACCTCGGGCTCAGGCCTTTCTTGTCCAGGAAGCGTCCTTGATGAGCCAGCCTCCCTCCTGCCCCGCCAGCCTGTGGCTCTCCCTGGGCCTTCTCCCTGCTGCCCTCGGCTTCCCTCTGTCATCACCACTGCCACATCCTGCTGTCCTTTCTATGGAGGCTCCTTGGGGGCCGGGACTCTGTGTCCTCACCTGGTGCCTTGCATGGCCTGCGAAGGCGCTCAGGGGGTGTCTTGTGAGTGCCAGGCTGTGCTGCTCTGGGAGGTGCATCGGTGGTACCTGGATGGCTCAGGGAAATGAGCTCTCACCTCCTCAGCTGGGCATAGCAGGGTGGTTATCCTCAGAGAGGAGTCCAGTGGTGCTGCTGCCGGCTCCCGCTCCTCCCAGTGCCTCACTGCACATTTGGAAAGTTTAACTGTCGGGTCATGTGAGCACGATTGGACCAGTCGCTCATAAGAAATAACTAAGATTCCAAACCCAAACACGTAGCCCTTCAGTTACTTGTAACTTGTTCTCTCCAGGGACTGAAAGAACCCTGAGATCTCTGTGTTAAGAATTGAGGAATACATGATAGAGACTTGCAGAATAAAACACATTTTGGGCGAGCGTGTATTTGTGAGAGGAGTGTGGATGCAGAAGGTACAGCAGCTGTCAGGATCCTGTCTACACTGCTGTCTGGGCACCGTGCCCCTTCTTCAGGGGCCATGATGTGTGTTGCAGGCTTCATTCCTCCTCTCGGCCACGTCCTAGAACCAGAGGGCACGTTCAGGCTTCAGGTGCCCTGCACAGCCATGACTGTCTAATACCAAACGTGATTTTGTCAATATAAGATCAAGGGCAGTTTTGGGGGTAAATCCATTTCAATCAAAAAGCTGGAAAACTTGCCAAGCTGTCACTCGGGCTATGTATATTAGAACAGTTTTCTTAAAACTTCTTACTGATTAAGACTCATGCTGGCGAATTCCTTTGGCATTCTGCCCCTGACTGTTGCTTTGTCGACATTTTTTGGGTGAGATCCTGGTGGCCGCAGGTGGGCGGTCTCTGGCTGCGGACGTCAGGACAAACCTGGGAAGAAGAGAAAGTAACACAGCTCCAGAGTTGAAAACTCTCTTGCCTTTTTTCCTGGGATATGGACAGAATGGACACTGAGTTGCCCCTTGAATGTCAGGAATGGTGTTGACCCTGCGTTAGTTAGATCCTCAACCCAGTTGTTCTGTGAAGTTCTAGACAAACACACCGGAAGGGCGTCTGTGGTGCGCTGACAGGCCCCTTACTGCAGGAGGCCGCTGTGGTTGGGGCACTTGCAGGTGGTGCCCGAGTAAGAATAAAGGGTTGGATGTGCCTTCTCCACGCCCCTCACTGGGTCACGTGTCAGTCACATGTTACATGTCCTCAGTGCCCGTGAAGGGGTCCCTGACCACTGTCTACTCCCATGAGGGAGCCCGATGCTCAGCTCTAAGGGTAGGGACCCGTGAGGCTGGGCAGGGCTGGGGGCCGCTCGGAGTTCAGGTAGTACATATCGTAGCTTTGCAGGTCGTGGGGTCTCTGGCAACTGCTGAACTTGGTGGTTGAATCACCACCAAGGAGTGGCCTTAGACAACATGTAAATGAACAGATGTGGCCGTGTTCCCAAAGCTTTACTTACAAAGAGCCGGGGTGCCGGGTGGAGGCACAGGCCGTGGTTTGCTGACCCCGCGGTTGAAGGCGTGGAAAGCCTGCGGGTTACCGCTCGGCAGCCGCGTGACCTGAGCAGAAGGCGGCTGAACCTGCTTCCTGCCCTGTCAGTGGGGATGAGGATGTGGGTGAAGCTGGAATGAGCCGATGTGGGGCCAGCTCTGCTCCACCCTGGACGGGGTGTCCGCTGAGTAGATGTTGACTTTGAGTATGTGTTGTCACTAAAGCACACGTGTCTGTATTTCAGTTTGTCAGGAAAATAACTATGTTTTGTCCTGATTCCTGGGTCGTGTGCTGTGAAAATGCCTCACTTCAGCAGAGTAACCGTACTGCCAACAGTCTTCCTGTAAACAGATCTCAGGAGTCGTGTTGCAGGCGGCTCGCCCTGGTTTCTGGGTGGGGATTGGCCTCGGGGTCCATACATGTCAGAAGCCCCCTCCCCAGCCGGGGTTCTTGGGTGGCTTCCGGGGAACCCGAGACTGAGGGAGCGCAGTGAACACCTGTGCCAGGGGTGGTGGCATTGCAGTCCCCCCAGGGGTCAGAGAACTCCCCTGGGCCGACTTCCATATTGAGTGTGTTTCAGTGAGGAGCACCTCACCAACCGAAAGGGGGCTGCTCTCTTAGACCCTGCCTGGGAGCAAGTCCAGTGTGGAGATACTGGTGGGCATCTAATGCTTTAGTTTTCCACTTGTTCCAGTCTGCCGTCGGCCATGAGTACCAGTCGAAGCTTTCCAAGCACTGCTCGCAGGTTGACTCCGTCCGGGGGTTTGGAGGCAAGTTTGGTGTCCAGGTGGACAGAGTTGACCAGGTGAGTGGTGCGTCGTGAGGAGCTGGGGCCCGGGAGGGCAGGGGGGTCACTCCCTGGGGATCAGAGCTTAGAGCCACATTGGTGTGCGGTCAGCCATGTCCTCTCGAGGTAACACGAAGGTGCCTCTGACTCTGGGACTGCAGGGCAGGTGTCCCAACCTCACAGGGCCCCCTACTCCTCCTCAGATGCTCTGAGATGATTGGCTGGCTGGGGTAAGGAGCAAGAACGGAAAAGTGTGAGAGCCTTTTTCACTGGTTGCTGTAGAAATCCCCGTGTTGGTGTCTGCTCATCAGATGGACCAGGGACGGCCTTAGGTTTGCCCCAGAAGGTGCCACTGGGGACTGTTTCCATCCACCCTCCCTGCATGGATGTCACTGTGAGGGGGCGATGTTCAGAGCAGGATCAGCAGAGCACCACACACATGCCCATTTCCAGGGCTGGGCTTAGTGTCCAGATGCTGTTCCGGCAGCTCTGGGCTCCGCCTCTCCTCTGATTCTCTGACTCAGGGCCTTCACACCCTTTGTTTTGTATCACAGCAGTGGAGATTCTGGATTTTGTAGTTAGACCTCAGTCCACTTTCTGGCTTTGCTGCATATTAGCCATGGTTCCGCATTTACCTGTCTGTAAAATGGGATGATGATAATTCCTGGGGCTTTGTGTGCCCCACACCAGGTTGGGTGTGCATGATGCCCACCACAGTGCCCATTCATGTTGCTCCTGGCAGAGCTCATTTGAAAACCGAGTTTCTCTGTGGCAGTAGGGAACTGTCCCGAGGTGGCGTGTGCCTGAAATGTGAACTCTCTGTGCAGTGGCGGCTGCTGGGGGGACGGGCCGCTACGGGCGCAGCTTGGCTTGGCAGCCCGCTGGCCTTGTTGAACTTTTTTTTTGTGTGTGTGTGTGTGAGGAAGATCAGCCCTGAGCTAACATCCATGCCAATCCTCCTCTTTTTGCTGAGGAAGACTGGCTCTGAGCTAAGACCTATTGCCAATCCTCCTCCTTTATTTTTCTCCCCAAAGCCCCAGTAGATAGCTGTATGTCATAGTTGCACATCCTTCTCGTTGCTGGATGTGGGACGCGGCCTCAGCATGGCCGGAGAAGCGGTGCGTCAGTGGGCGCCTGGGATCCGAACCCGGGCCGCCAGTAGCGGAGCACACGCACTCAACTGCTAAGCCACGGGGCCAGCCCTTGTTGAACTTTTTTTTTTTTTTTTTTTTTTTAATTAATTTATTTTTCCCCCAAAGCCCCAGTAGATAGTTGTATGTCATAGCTGCACATCCTTCTAGTCGCTGTATGTGGGACAAGGCCTCAGCATGGCTGGAGAAGCAGTGCGTCAGTGCGCGCCCAGGATCTGAACCTGGGCCGCCAGCAGCAGAGTGTGCGCGCTTAACCGCTAAGCCACGGGGCCGGCCCATGTTGAACGTTTTATGGCATGCAACTTTAGACCCCACAGCTCTGGGCGTTACTCAGACCTGCACTTGGCTTAGGAAATCAAAAGTCAAAAAAGACTATGGTTCGTGTTTTTAGAGATTTCATATGTATTGTGCCTTGGATGAACTTCTGGAGGTTTTTTCACGTTCCATGTCCCCTTTTTGTTGTCATGCAGTCTGCTGTGGGCTTCGAGTACCAGGGCAAGACAGAGAAGCACGCCTCACAGAAAGGTGAGCTGCAGAAGATGCGGACGTGGACGGGAAGGCAGCCCGCCTGGCTGGGATGGGGAGGAAGACGGGGGCGCTGAGGCCTCTTCCTTGGGGAGGGGCTGTTGCCATGGGGGGACTCTGCTCTCCACTTTTGGTGTCTGCGTCATCTGGGTGTCGTGTGACAGTGTGGTCCCCATCTCGCAGCACATGAAGCTCTGGCAACTCGTGGTGCCTCCCATATTGCAGCAGAAGCTGCCTTCCCTCCATCCGGGCAGCATTGCCCCCGGAAAAGCTAGCTCGCTGACTTTGCTGGCAAAGCTAACTCCCCTCAAGGATAGAAACTAGAGCCCTTACATTATTGATGTTTTCATTCTGCACGTGCGATCTTTAACATGGTGTCACCTAATCTTTACTAAGTCATGCTAATCTCATGAAGCCTTTTTTTAAGGAGTACGTTTTTTTCCTTCCCCTTGCCCCAGGACATAGTTGTATACTCTAGTTGTAAGTCCTTCTAGTTCTTCTGTGTGAGCCGCCACCACAGCACGGCTACTGACAGACAAGTGGTGTGGTTCCACGCCTGGGAACTGAACCCAGGCCGCTGAGGCAGAGCTTTAACCACTAGGTCATCAGGGCTGGCTCTCAAAAAGCCTTTTTTGTAAAATGAAAGCTGTCACTTCTTCAAAGCACTTGTATTTTTTGTAAATTTGTTTGCCTCTGCCTCTTGCTTGTCATCAGATGACGAAGGGATTGCGCACTCGGTCCGGGAGCACTTGAGGGCCCCATTCCACCTGGCGTGGACGTGCTGGAGGGGTGGGGTCTTTTCTGGAACGGGTTTTTAGCTGCGTAGCTTTCTTTATTCGCGACCTTTATCTGAACGGTCAGTTTCCAAAGTGGGAACACGGTTCCTGTCTGCCATCGTGAAAGCAGTGCCCTCTAACAGTTGGAAGGGTCATTGTAAACTGAGTCCAGCGTCACTTGTGTGTGACAGTGGGTGGCTTGTGTGTTTTAGAACGTGTGCTTGATCTCTTGGTGAGTCGTGACCCCCGAATCGTTTTTGTCTTAGTTTAAAAGACAAAGCGACGGGTTAGTCTGTCATCAGCCACCTTCACTGACTGCTGCCCTGTCTCCCCAGACTACTCGAGTGGTTTTGGCGGCAAGTACGGTGTGCAGGCCGACCGGGTGGACAGGAGCGCCGTGGGCTTCGACTACCAGGGCAAGACGGAGAAGCACGAGTCGCAGAAAGGTCCGCCTGCGGTGGCGCCTTGCAGCCCGTCAGGAGCACCCCATGTTCACAGCGTGGGGAGCCCCTTCGCCGTCGTTTCTCACGCGTTTACGGGCATAAACATCAGGGCATTTTCTCCCTTGGTGCAAATCGGGTTGATTTATATTTATACAATTTTCTTTTTAACTTAAAGTGTTTGGACGTTCTTGTTCTTTTCATGTCAGTGTAGGGAGTTCGTCGTGTTCTTCATGAGTGCTCAGTCCTTCGTGATGTGAAGAGCCTGTAGTCTCTTTAACCATTCCTCTTTGGGATGTGCAATTTAAGTTTTCACTTTTTGATGTTAAAAGTCAACTGCAGTGAATATTCTTATCCCTTAATCTTATATACATAAGTGATTATTCAAAAGAATAAATTCCTAGAAGTATAATTACTGGGTCAGAGGACATTGTATTTAAAATCTTGATAAATTGCCAAATTGTCCTTAGAAGCCATGTTGATTTTTTCCTTCACTATGACATGCTATGTCACCAATGAGCTGCCACCCTTCGTCCAGTGAGGGGCTGTATATGGAGGTTATCTTAAAGATTCAGCGCCATTCTGCAGAGGTCGTGCATTGTTGGTTCTTCTGCATTGTTTGTTTTGTTTCGCCTGTACATTTAAATTTTTTAAAATAATTGCCAACATATAAAAACTGAGAGCTCACGTATTTAAAAAACCCCAGATTTCTTTAAAAAACAAAAGCAAAACCCATGACTGGAAACACCACTGGCCTGGTGTTTTCCCGAGGAGACAGGGCGGTGGCCAGGTCAGCCCTCCTTTTTTTTTTTGTATTGTGAGGAAGATCAGCCCTGAGCTAACATCCATGCCAATCCTCCTCTTTTTGCTGAGGAAGACTGGCCCTGGGCTAACATCTGTGCCTGTCTTCTTCCAGTTTATATGGGACGCTGCCACAGCATGGCCTGACAAGCGGTGCATTGGTGGCGCCCGGGATCTGAACCTGGGCCGCCAGCAGTGGAGCACGTGCACTTAACCGCTGCGCCACGGGCCCGGCCCTTCAGCCCTCCATTTGCCGCGGGTGTCACTTCTGTTACACTGGGCCTGTCTGCCGCCTCGAGGCTGTTCTCCCGGCTCTGGGGTGTGCAGCCTCACTCGCTCTACAGGGTCACTGTAAACTCTGCCTTCTCTCTACTTGGAATAAACCTGTGCTCTCTGCCCAGTACGCACCCTGCTAGTCAGGACCTGCTGTTGGATCCTGTTCAGTGCTGCTCCGACTTTCTCCCCAAGAGGGTTTGATCTCGGCATTCTGTTTGATGAATGTGTCCACGATGGAATCACACTTTACTACAAAAATAACTAGTTAAATGACTTAGCTTTGAGGAGAACTGATGTTTCTGGAAGGTGCTCCGGGTTTATCCTGTGTCTTTGAAGGTACCCCCGGCACACCTCTCCTTGCGTTAGTCCCTTAAGCAGAGAGACCTGTAAAAGCTCGCTGCTCTGGCTGATCCTGATCTAGCAGCTTTATAATGAACTGTCGTTTCATGCTGTCTTTTGGAATGAAGGAAAGATGCTACAATTATCAATCTGCTATATTTACTCTCTTCATATTTGTATTATTACATATAAATAATACTTTTAAATTATTTTCTGTATCAGTGATCTTATAGTGAGCCTAAAAGATTTTTGGTTTGTACTTTTTCTTTTTTGAGCGCTAAAAGTCCTTTCTTAAAGCCCGCTAAAATCCGCAGCATGCTGACTGGTTTTGTTGCTGGCCTGTAAACAGTACCTTTCTTGTTTTCAGATTACTCCAGAGGCTTTGGTGGCAAGTATGGTATTGACAAGGACAAGGTTGATAAAAGTGCTGTCGGCTTTGAGTATCAAGGCAAAACGGAGAAGCACGAGTCTCAGAAAGGTGCCTTCTGTTTTATCCGACTCTCTCGCCAGCAGCCATTAATGGGATAGGTGTCAACCCGAGAGCAGTGGAGAAACGAAACTTAGCCAGCAACCCTCAAAGTAGCCGTCTCTTAAATAAGTCGTCAACTTTAAAACAGCAAAGCCAGAAACACAGCTGATACATGAGAGATCGAATCTTTACACTTTTTTTTGGCTTTAACACCCCTGCAGTGCTGCTTGTAATAATAGTGTCACATGTCTACGTGTGTAAGTGGTGGGACCATGAGGACTCCTGGGGGCTGGTTAAGCTGCATCCCTTGGAGGTTCTTCTGTGGGGTCCTCTCTGTGTTAATTCACCACACTGAGGTTACAGATGAGGTTATTTTCCAGACATTCTCCGAGGAGCTCCTCTTAATGAATGTTACCTAAAGTTTTACCAAAGATCTGAGAGAGAGAGGATGGATTTAGCGAATTGTGTATATTTACCTGCGTTGAAAACCATGCTTTCTCTCTGTTACCCAGGCTACCCATTAATACTAGATCGTGGCCCTTTTTTGTCCATGTAGACTATGCAAAAGGGTTTGGAGGAAAATTTGGCGTGCAGACGGACAGACAGGACAAATGTGCCCTTGGCTGGGATCACCAGGAGAAGTTGCAGCTGCACGAATCCCAAAAAGGTACCTTCGTTTGACTCTCATATTGGAGATCATGTCAGAAGTTTGTTTTCATTGACAGGCCATCACTGTGCCGTGTATTGCTGTATTTCTGTAGCAGTGTTGTTCTGTCTTTACTGTTTGAGGTTGTCCAACCCCTTCCACATTTTTGAGACAGCTCTTCTGCTAGAGCAGTAAGGGACCCTCCCCTCCCGTGGGAGAGCAGCCCACGAGAAGGCACCCGTGTTCACCCGTGCTTCCAAAGCACCGGCCACTGTCTGCAGCAGCTCTGAGGATGCTGTTTCCTGCCCTCACGGGGCGGCCAAAGGGGCGACAGTGTTCCCAGTCCATGAAAGTGGGCCACAGTTTGTGGAGGGGCCACTTCCTCTCTGCCCGGGGGTGTGTTCTCATCACGAGGGAACCGCGTCCCCGGGAAAGTGGAATGTGGGGGCGAGAGACCTCTGAGTGTGACCCAGACTCACACCCATCCCTTCAGCCAGCACAGTGGGACGTGGGGCTGATACGCATTGCTGTGTAATAACTTTGTGTATCACGTGTCTCTTTCTTCACTTGCACAGAGGCGCGCTCTCTTGTCTGCAGCGTGGGTAGGACCCTAGAAAGAAACCTCAAAGCATGGAGTGGCTTTCCCGAGTTATTTCAGATAATGGTTCCTAACCTGTTCTCAGATCCTGGCTGAAGTGTTCAGATTTTGAGTTTGTTCTCTAACCTGTGAGCCTAGTTTTAACTGTGTGTGAGTCCAGGATTTGGCTCTGCGGCCCCCGAGCCTGGCAGAGCTCTTGCTTTCTCTCAACGATGTACGTGATTCCTGCAGATGCTCCTATGATTCTAACCGAACTGTGTTTCCTCTCTCGGTTGTTTTCTCCACTGTTGCTTGTGGATTTGCAGATTATAAGACTGGTTTCGGAGGCAGATTTGGTGTTCAGTCCGAGAGGCAGGACTCCTGTGCTGTGGGGTTTGATTACAAGGAGAGACTGGCCAAGCACGAGTCCCAGCAAGGCACAGTTGCTCACCAGCCCTGCCCCCGCCTCCCTTCCCGTGCAGCCACTTCTAGCACAGACTTCAGGGGCCCGGCCTTCCAAGTCACCCGCTGTGCCCTGTAGGGGCACTCGGGCATTTGAAACCCGGTTGTACGCAGGAGTGATAGTAACCTGCATTGCTCCTGCCCCCATGCACTCGGCCCCTGGAACCGTGGGGGTTTGTGCTTGGTGAGACACCGTAGTTTGCAGGATATGTCGTTCTGACTCCATAATGTGGCTCAGTCCTGGAATGGGGCGTCTCTGGTCTCTCAGCAGCCTTCTGCAGGAGCTGTTGCTGTTGACCATGACGTGGGTAATTGAGTAAGCTGCCTGACTGCCTCCGAGACGAGGACAACCGTGTTTAGTTCAACCACAGGCTTGGTGGCAGCAAGGGGCGTGGGGCGGCGTGTTCCATGTGGTTTCTGTGTTTCATTGTGGTGGTGTTTTTTGGCCAGGGGTGGGAGGTGTTTTTGTTTTGTCTTTGTTTTTATGGTGACACCATCTATGTATAACTTCTTCACACAGAACCAAACAGTATGTACACAAAGCTAAGAAAACACGGGAAATTTCTAAGTGGATCTGTTGGGAGTCTGAATGGCAAATGCATTTTTCCCTAGAGCAGTTATTTAATTGCTGTCAAAATTCGGACTTGGTTGTTAGAACCTGGACAAACGATTGGAAAACAAGTACCGTCCTACTTGACAGGGCAGAGAGCAGGCTCTCCCTCCCAGGGTTAGGAACACACGACAGTGTTAGGTGAGGGAAGGTGAGCACACCTGGGGCTGGTCCGGCAAACCGCGTGGAGATGGCCCCGGCTCTGTGTGGCATTAACGCCGCATGGCAGTGTCACTGTCACGTAGATCTGTGTTGCTACGTCATAAGGTTTGGTGGGTAGAATTTCCCCATGGAATTTTTTTTTCTTTTAAAAGGCAAAACCACTGCAGTTGTGCCTGTGTGTAGTCCTGGTAGGGCAGCAGCGCAGAAACGGGAGCAGGAGTCAGCCGGTGCTGGGTGGAAGACTGTGCTATTGAAGTGGTGCACTGCCCAGGGCCCGTGCCGGGGCCCCCTTGGCTCACTGCCTGTCAGCTGCGCCCGTCACCCTTTCTGTCCCTCAGGAGAATGCAGAACGCATGCACACGCCTCTTTTCTGCCTCTCACCTGCCTGTGTACTGAACACCATGGGTAGAAACAAACTCACCTTGCAAGTGAAGACCCATGGTGTGGTAGTTCTGGTTTCTTTCCGCTCTGGGTGCCTTGTCTCGGGCTGTTTCTGGATCTGTTCGCATGCATCTGCTGTGGGCACCACGGTGGTCCTCAACCTAAGAGTAAGTGTTGTGTTGTGCCACGTTTCAGACTACTCCAAAGGATTTGGTGGAAAATATGGAGTGCAGAAGGATCGGATGGACAAGGTAAGCATTTCAAATCCAGGGCTTCGTGTTTTCTGCTGATGGGTTCGGGAATGTATGGCGCTCCTGGTGTGTCAGCGCAGTGCTCCATGGGTGCTCTGGGGTGGGTGTGTGCTCGTGTCTCCAGAAGCACAAACGTTGACGTTGGGTGTGTGTCACCACTGGTGGTGACGACTGCTGACACCTGTGCCAGGCCTGGCCTAGTGGTCCTGTGTGTCCTCTCCAGGACCCCGCGCGGCTGTGCTGTGAGGCAGGTGCCGTCCCCGTCCTGTTTTACAGTCGGGGTCCCTGGCCAGGCAGGCCCGGTGCTTGGCCACGACATAGCAGTGAGTGGCTGGGCCACCGTTGGAACCCAGACATTTAGGCTCTAGGGCCAACGCGAGAGCCTTGAGGACGGGTGGCTATTTGAATTTAAGGTGGTTAGCAGTAAACCAGATTGGAAGTTGAGCTCCTTGATCACACTGGCCACGTTAGAAGAGCTCAGTAGGCACACGGGTGGTGGCTGCTCGTGGAGACGCAGATCTAGAGCATCTGCATCATTGCAGAAGGTCCGTGGGACACTGACCGTCTAGAGCTGGATCCTGACCCCTGCACCGCCTCTCACAGGTGTCCCCCTGGGAACACACTCGTTTCCCTCACCAGGGCCTCAGTCACTTTTGAGTGGTTTCAGAGTCTGTGTGAGTTAGTCTTAAGCAGATCAAGTGATTGTTGTTTAGTCCACAGTCCAGCCATAAGAGAGTGTTAGACTTGTGAGCGGTTATGGAGTTGTCTACACTGGGGCCTGCATGTGGCGTCTATCTCCTGAACAAAGGTTGAGGCTGTCCTGCAGGGTCCTGTGCCTGGCCCGCAGTCAGGGACAGCAGGGCTAGTCCTCATGGAGTTCTGCTTCCGTTGGGCTCACAGCTGACCACACAGAAGCCTCACCCGGGGGGGCTCTACCATGTGACCACGCGTGGGCCCTGGGAACAGGTGGCAGGCCCGGGGCTCAGGCTGAGGGGCCAGGAAGGGTCCTGAGGAAGTGTGAGTCAGGGTTCAGTTTTGAGGGGTGGAGTTTGCCAGGAAAGATGGGGCCAGGAGACTAGAGAGCAGAGGCCTAGCATATGTGCAGGGGTGGGCATGGGGCACTGCGGCCCATGTGGGGTGGGGCCAGGGGCTCTGTGGACCGTGCAGGGGCGAGGACAGGGGAGCTGCGGCCCGTGCGAGGGTGGGGACAGGGGCATTGCGGACCGTGCAGGGGCGGGGACAGGGGCGCTGCGGACCGTGCAGGGGCGGAGACGGGAGCTGCAGACCTTGCAGGGGTCGAGACAGGGGCGCTGCGGACCGTGCAGGGGTGGAGACAGGGGTGCTGCAGACTGTGCAGGGGTGGGGACTGGGTCCCTGCAGGGACTGAAGATCTGAGAGAAGCTTGTTAGGACCACTCTGCAGGGGAGGGGAGAGGGGTGAGGAGCTGGTAGGGACCATCTTGGAGAGCCCTGCTGACCAAGTCAGGTTCTGTCTTTCATTAGATGAGTCCTGAGTGGCCCTGGAAGGGTTTGGCAGGCAAGTGACACAGATGGGATGCGTGTTGAGAAGCCCCCTGCTTGCAGCGTGTGGAAGTGGATTGCAGGGGAAGTGGCGAGGCTGTGGCCCCAGTTAGGAGGTGGCTTCAGTGGTGTGAGCGGGGTGCAGTGCTGGCTCAGGCGGGGGATGGTGGCAGGGCAGAGAAGCACCCACTTCAGCGAGGTGGGTAAAGCTGTGGTAAAGCCCACAGCTTTAAGGGGTGAGGAGGAGGGAGGGTTCAGGACCACGCCAGGTGGGCGGTAGGGTCCTCTGCTGAGCTGGGGGGTGTGGGAGGGGCAGGTGTGGGTAGGTGAGTCAGCTGTGGGTGTGTCCGGGTCGGACTGCCAGGGGGCCGGGAGATGAGAGAGTACAGCTGGACTAGAGGCAGCTCGGCCACTGCATACAGATGTAGATGGAGCGGGGGACCGGGTAAGATGCAGGGGGCACCTGCAGAGTGGTGAGCAGGGCCCAGGGCCACATCTGGGGGGTGGCAGCGGTCAGGCTGGTCAGAGGAGACTGGGAAGGGCATCTGGCAAGGTGTGCGGAGCCCACTGGGTCTGGTGGTGCTGGTCTGAGGATTTAGAGCTTTGAGGAGGAGGGAGGGGTCACCTGTGCCCAGCGATGCGGCTGGTGGGGGTCATGTCTGGGCGAATGACGTGGTGGCTCTTGGCGTCCTGGTGAGGGCATTTTTTGGGGTCTTGGGGGGGAGGTGGGGGCATGGCTGGCTTGCAGGGGTCTGGGCCATGAGGGGAGGTTAAGTTATAGAGTCGGCAAGTTTGGGCCCGCTCCACCCACCGTGGTCCTAGCGAGCTGGGCAGTCAGTGGTCAGCCGAGGAGACGTTTCTGTTTTAAGATGGCAGAAACCAGAACATCTAGGGGAGCCTAGACCATAGAGAGGGAGGTGTAGGGAGACCTGAGGTGGTAGTGGAGGACATGGGGTCCCCGAGATGTGGCCTTGGACGGGAGAGGCTAACGAGGGGGACTGTGGCCCGGCCAGAGTGGTGGCTTGAGGCACAGGTGGAGTGAGCCTGTGTCTGGCGGTGACTGTGGTTCCTGCTGATAGTGATGACAGTGACCGTGTTGTACGGTTGGGAGTCTGAGGCTGAGAAAGAGGAGGGAGTTGCCCAGAGTCCCATTAGTCTGTGTGTGGAGGGATTCGAAGCCAGGCAGTCACGTGAGGTTGTCCATGAGAGAGGAGTGTCACCGGGACTCAGGTCTGAAGTAGTCCCTGGGGGGCATGGTAATGGCTTATGGGGTGCCCGGCAGGTGGGAGCTGGGAGAAGTAGTGACCTTGAGTTTGCCAGGCTGGACCCAGGGATGGAGGAGCAGGGTCTGGGTAGAGGAAGGCGGCGAGAGGGAGAAGGTTCTAGTTGGCAGGTGGCTCTTGGTAATGGTGTGTGTTACGGAGGAGGCAGGGCACAGTGTGGTGGGGACCGTGTGAGCGGAAACGAGAGGCTGGGGGTTGTGGTGTTGTTGGAAGCCTCCAGAGTGATGGCAGAGAGACGGCCCTGAGCAGCGTGCTGGAGAATTGGCTGGACAGGGGCAGGTGGTGGATGACAGGAGGGGTCGTGCTACAGCTGGAGTGCAGGAATCCCCCCATCGGGAGGATGCTGACGCCCCTTGCCCCCGAGGCGACAGGGCAGACAGGAGGCTGATGGGACAACCAGGGGGTGTGTGTGAGAGATTGTTCTGGAAAGAGGTGGCAGACAGGGCGGTTTGGTGGTGGGTAGTCTGGGAACCCGGAGAGGGTTTGGTCAGGGCAGCCACGCATTCACGCTTGGAGAGGAGGCAGGGATGCTGGGTGGCCCCTGGACGCCACAGGCTCTTGGCTGGATGCAGCTGGGCACAGAAGGGCAGGTGGGCGGCAGCCACTCTGGCCAAGCTGGGTGGCTGTGGAAGGACAATGGGGCTTTGGGGGAGGGTAGGAGAGGGGCTGGTCCCCAGTGGTGCAGAACCCCGGTTGTCAGCTGTGCCTGAACGTGAGGAAGGCGTGCACGTCTCAGAGCCGCTGCTCACAGTCAGCCTCAGAGGGTGACTGGTACCTTCAGTTACACGTCCTCGGGCCCCTCTTCTCCTGGTTTCTATGTCAGAACAGCAGTGACTGTCCTGAGCCCCAAGTATTTCGCTGGGAAGTGGTGGCTCACGACACAACTGAGGATGGCCGGTGGTTCCCAGAGCCTGTCTTCTGCGTCAGAGTCAGCCTTTAAGTGGACAGTCGCTGCTGGTGCTGTCATCTGATGGAGTTGGGTCCCTGCAGAGCAAAATGGTGTACTTGTGCTTGTGGGGAAATGTGGACAGTCAGGTGAGGCGTGCGGATGCCCCAAGTGTCCCCTCCCGGCAGAGCAGAGGCTCCCGGCTCCCTGGAGATGCTCGGGCCTCTCTCGGTGGTGAGGGCTTGAGGAGGACGCATAACTGGTTTCTGATTGCACAGGTGCAGATATGTTTTTTGGGGTTTTTTTCTCACTCTATTTTTTTTAGAGCCGTTCTAGCAAATTTGAGAGTAAGGTACAGAGGTTTGCCGTATACCCCCTGCCCCAACACATGCACAGCCTCCCCCCACAGCCTCCCCCACTATCAACACCATCCACCAGATGGGGCATTTGTTACGGTCCCTGAACCGACATTGATGGTGATGTCACCCAGAGTCCATGGTTGACATCAGGGTTCCCTCTTGGTGGTGTCCATTCTGTGGGTTTGGACACGCATATAATGACACGTATCCGCCATTGTAGTGTCATACAGAGTGTTTTTGCTGCCCTAAAAAGACTCTGTGCTCCATCTATTCATCCCCCCTCACGTGTGTATTTTTTATTCTGACACTGACCCGTATGGTCACCAGCAAATGTGTGTCGTAACGCTTTTCATGCCTCAGTCAATTTACAAAACAGAGAGGTAGATATGAGAGCCTCGGGCTCTCTGGTTGGTTCTTTTGGAAGGTCTAGGGCAGGCTTCAACATTTGCATAAGGGGGAAGCCATGACAGGGTGTGAAGGACAAAGAAGAGTGCCTTCCTGATCTTCCTTTCCTATCTTGGTAGAATGCCTCCACTTTTGAGGATGTTGCCAAGGTGGCCTCCACGTATCAGAAGACTGTCCCCATCGAAGCAGGTGAGTCCTCACAGACCCCCCCACCAGCACTCTGGTTTTCCCAGGAAGAAATTCCATGCTCTCTGGTTTTCCCAGGAAAATGCTCAGGGCAAAAGGGTGGTTGGCAGAATGTGTGCCAGGAGCAGATGGAGCACAAGTGGAGAAATGGAGCACGAGTGGAGAAATGGAGCACGAGTGGAGAGGTGGAGATGAGTGGAGAGGTGGAGATGAGTGGAGGGATGGAGATGAGTGGAGGGATGGAGCGCAAGTGGAGGGATGGAGCGCAAGTGGAGGGATGGAGAGCCAGTGGAGGGATGGAGATGAGTGGAGGGATGGAGATGAGTGGAGAGGTGGAGTGCAAGTGGAGAGATGGAGATGAGTGGAGAGATGGAGCGCGAGTGGAGAGATGGAGATGAGAGATGGAGCGCGAGTGGAGGGATGGAGCGTGAGTGGATGGATGGAGATGAGTTGAGAGGTGGAGATGAGTGGAGAGGTGGAGTGCGAGTGGAGAGATGGAGATGAGTGGAGAGATGGAGTGCAAGTGGAGGGATGGAGATGAGTGGAGAGATGGAGCAGGAGAGGAGAGATGGAAATGAGTGGAGGGAGAGAGCGCGAGTGGAGAGATGGAGATGATTGGAGGGATGGAGCGCGAGTGGAGAGATGGAGATGAGTGGAGGGATGGAGCGCGAGTGGAGAGATGGAGATGAGTGGAGGGATGGAGATGAGTGGAGAGATGGAGATGAGTGGAGAGATGGAGCGCGAGTGGAGAGATGGAGCGCGAGTGGAGAGATGGAGATGAGTGGAGTGATGGAGATGAGTGGAGAGATGGAGATGAGTGGAGAGATGGAGATGAGTGGAGAGATGGAGCAAGAGAGGAGAGATGGAGATGAGTGGAGAGATGGAGCACGAGTGGAGAGATGGAGCACGAGTGGAGAGGTGGAGATGAGTGGAGAGGTGGAGATGAGTGGAGGGATGGAGCGCGAGTGGAGGGATGGAGCGCGAGTGGAGGGATGGAGATGAGTGGAGAGATGGAGCGTAAGTGGAGAGATGGAGATGAGTGGAGAGGTGGAGCGCGAGTGGAGGGATGGAGCGTGAGTGGATGGATGGAGATGAGTTGAGAGGTGGAGATGAGTGGAGAGGTGGAGTGCGAGTGGAGAGATGGAGATGAGTGGAGAGGTGGAGTGCAAGTGGAGAGATGGAGATGAGTGGAGAGATGGAGATGAGTGGAGGGATGGAGCGTGAGTGGAGGGATGGAGATGAGTGGAGTGATGGAGATGAGTGGAGAGGTGGAGTGCAAGTGGAGAGATGGAGATGAGTGGAGAGATGAGGCACGAGTGCAGAGATGGAGCACAAGTGGAGAGATGGAGATGAGTGGAGAGATGGAGATGAGTGGAGAGATAGAGCACAAGTGGAGAGAGAGAGCACGAGAGGAGAGCTGGAGATGAGTGGAGAGATGGAGATGAGAGGAGAGGTGGAGTGCGAGTGGAGAGATGGAGATGAGAGCAGAGATGGAGATGAGTGGAGAGGTGGAGATGAGAGGAGAGGTGGAGATGAGAGGAGAGGTGGAGATGAGTGGAGAGGTGGAGATGAGTGGAGAGGTGGAGATGAGTGGAGAGGTGGAGATGAGTGGAGAGGTGGAGTGCGAGTGGAGAGATGGAGATGAGAGCAGAGATGGAGATGAGTGGAGAGGTGGAGAAGGGTGGAGGGATGGAGATGGGTGGAGAGATGGAGATGAGTGGAGAGATGGAGATGAGTGGAGAGATGGAGCACCAATGGAGAGCAGAGTTGTTCCTGCATATCTTCAGGAAGGAACTTGACTTCCCTTTTGATGGAAGATCCTGTGTGTTCCTTCAAAGGTTCGGAGGCGCCTTTCAGACCTAGCATGTGGCGTTCTCTGACAGTGGGGGTCTGCTTCCCAAAGCAGAGCTAGGTTACCTGCCCGTCTGCAAGGGGCCTTCTCACTGCTGGGGACCGGGTTCTAGGAGGTTCCTGTGGTACCTGCAGCTCAGATGTGCTCACAGCTGCCTGAGCCGGCCTGTTGACCCAGCCAGCCCTGGGGGGGGTCTGAGGAATGTGTTGAAGGCCTGTGGGTGACCTCAAGTAGCTGTTCTCTCTCCTCTCCTTCCTGGGCCCTGGACCAGGCAGCTTGTAGTCTGTCCTTTCAGGTAGCTGCTCGTGTAGGGGCGTCCTCCAGTCCAGGTGTCTGCTGGGCCACTCACTGAAGAGAGTGTCGTTTAGTTGGGAAGATACTGTACGTGATGAAGGGGGTACATTAAAAACAGGAGCAGAGAAGTGTCTGTTCACTGTGGACGCCCACTGGGTGCTCCCGGGACACTTGGACCCTCGTGGGAAGTATCAGGGGCCCCGAAGACCTTGTGTTCATGTGGGTCACGTCTGCTCATCTTCACTGTTGTTAGAAATTAAAACAGAAGAATTTCACATTTTATACATTCGTTTAGCAATAATAAAGCCATTACATGTTAACATAATACTTTTTATGAAAAATCAACATTTTCAATACAAAGGTGATGCAGAAACGTGGCATTGTCTTATGTTTCTATAAATGTTCTTAATATAAGACAGCCGAATTCTCCTAGCTGCTTCTGCTTCTGTGGTAGTGATGTTGTTTATGGAGAAAATCTGGACTCACCCTGATCTACAGTTGGAAAAGGGAAGACCGTTTCAGGTCATCAGGCGTGTTCTTTGATAGTACAGTCAAAACGGGCAGTGGTTTTCTTGAAGATGGGTCTCCCTTGCACAGCATGATTTTGTAATATCATGTATTGGTCGTTTGGAAAATACTGGATCACTGAGTTATGCTGATCTCCCAAATGTTGACATATGTCATTATACAATACCAAAAAAACCATATTTGTTAATATTATCAGTCTTTTTTTTTTTTAAGATTTTATTTATTTATTTATGTTCCCCCCAAAGCCCCAGTAGATAGTTGTATGGCATAGCTGCACGTCCTTCTAGTTGCTGTATGTGGGACGCGGCCTCAGCATGGCCGGAGAAGCGGTGCATCAGTGCGTGCCCGGGATCCGACCCCGGGCCGCCAGCAGCAGAGAGCACACACTTAACCGCTAAGCCACGGGGCCCGCCCCAATATTATCAGTCTTATCACAAAGTGTTTAAGTAAAATTGGGAGATTGTCGTGCTCATGGTAGTGGATACAAGTTTTCCAAAATGCTGATTTTGCTTGAAAGCTTGTATTTTCCCATTGACAGCAAATAGTGCAATTGTTCTTCTTGACATGATAGGCTCAGTTCATTTATTTTGGAGGAAATGTATGCTAAATACTCAAACGTACATAACCATAGTTTGTCAGTTACTGTCTCAGGGAAAAAGGATATTCCGTGAAAAATCAGTTCAGCTTGGAACTCAGGCACTCACACAGATGTTTTTCCTTGAGAGCTGCTGAGCGTCATATGTGGCAGTGGTGGTGTCTGCGTCCCTCCCATTTGTCACACGAAATATTAAAGATGTATACTCAAGCGTTGAGATTTACTAAAAATCTACACTTTTTACTGCTTTATCAAGGGCATCCTGAGGGGAAATTGGCTTTTTCTTCCTCCTGAGTGTATGGTGGTGGTAAAGAATACAATGACGTTTGGAATGTAAACGTATTCCAGATACACAGCTTATGGCGTTCGTCAGTTCCAGTGTGAACGTACAGTGTACCGAAAGCACAAGGGCCGGTTTGTGGTGGGTGGGCGGAGCCGGCAGCTGGGGCGAGCGGCTCCCTTCTCGGTCGGGTGGGGCTGGCTGGTTCCCAAGGGAGAGGTCGCCCTGGCAGGGGCTGTGGTCCAGGGGAGATGGCGGTGGTCTGACGTCAGACATAAATCGCTCCTTCCCTCTATAGTGAACAGCAAAACAAGCAATATCAGAGCTAACTTCGAAAACCTGGCGAAGGAGAAGGAACAGGAGGACAGACGGAAGGCAGAAGCAGAGAGGGCACAAAGGATGGCGAAGGAAAGACAAGAGCAGGAAGAGGCCCGGAGGCAGCTGGACGTGAGTGAGGACCGGCCCTGCTGTGCTCAGCCCCTGCGCTCCGTGAGGGAATTGGGAACTCTTGGGCCTGTGGGTTTGGTTTATTCCTTCCTCAGTGGTCCAGAAGGTTTTCAATAGAAAACTTTTTGAACTCACACTGGGCTATCCTCCGAGGAACTTGGACTTTTAGGCACACATAGAATCAAGTCTTCTGACCGCCAGATACTAGACAGTCCCCTTGCTGATGCAGAGCCCTGTGACCCTCGAGCATGGGCTCCCTCTGTCCCACTGTCAGCCCGCGCACCATCCGCTGAGCTCTAGTCTGCATGTTCCCCTAGTGGTTTCTGTCGCACCCATCACCCTCTGGAACCCGGTCTCCTCCTGGATAGAAGGTTGAGAAAACAGGAATTCCCTGTGAAGAAGCAGACCTGCTTCCTTCTGCAGCTCTCACCTCTGCAGCCTGGGTCTGCTGCGGCTTTTTCCTGTGGTTCTTTGTACTGTTTCCCCCCAGAGAGAGCAGGAACCCGAGCCGCGGGAAGTGAGCAGGAGGGTGTGGACTTTCTCCCTCCTAAACCTTTTCTAGGTGGACTGGGTGTCTCAGGGCTCTGGTCCCCACATTAGCACCTGCTAACAGGGCGACCTGTGGCACATTGGCTCACTGTTCTGTGGCCACATGTTCTGCCCTGTGAAATGGGCTGGAAACACTTACCATGGCTCTCTTCGGGGTAGTTACGAGGTAGAATCTGAAAGCCTGCATGCGACGTTGTTGTATAAACCGTGAAGCTTTATTTAACTCGATGGACATTCCCCCTGAAATCAGTGGTTAGGGCTCTGAAAACCCCATTGGATGATTGAGAAAATTAACATGTAGTAGACAGAAAATGCTGGGCACAGAAGACATGACTTAAATAAGCCCTGATGTATCACACGCAGTGAAGTCGGAATAACAGCAGATTTGTACTATTACGGTTTACCATTCCTTAATTGCTAGAAGCTTTTATTTATTTATTTTTTGTTTGTTTTTAATTTTTATTTATTAATTTTTTTCCCCCAAAGCCCCAGTAGATAGTTGTAGGTCATAGTTGCACATCCTTCTAGCTGCTGTATGTGGGACGTGGCCTCAGCATGGCCGGAGAAGCGGTGCCTCGGTGCACGCCGGGGATCCGAACCCGGGCCGCCAGTAGCGGAGCGCGCGCACTTAACCGCTAAGCCACGGGGCCGGTCCACTAGAAGCTTTTAAAGATCTCTTCAAGTTTTTAGTGAGATGCTTGTAAGTTAACTTTCCTTTGTTGCAGAACACACACTCACATACCACAAGACATCTTTTTCCCGATATCTTGGTCTTCTTCTCAAGTAATACGTTCCTCATTTTGTGCCTGGGTGTTTTAGCCCCTGCCCTCCGAGTCCCGTCAGCATCCACAAGATGCAGAGGGTTGGGTTGCTTGAGAAGAAGAAAGCTTTCGATCATCATCATGTAGTCTCTCTCCTGTTGAGGTTCTCCTGCTGTCCCTTCTGCTTTGTTGTCCTTTCTGTTTCTAGCCCCTGCCACCCATCTCCTCACCGGCTGCTCCCCAGTGAGAAGGATTCTCCATCAGCACGGTACTGCTCACACCAGAATATTCTGGATTGTGGAAGAGTGCTCTAGAAGTAGGCTTACCAGCAGCACATGTCTTCCAAGTGCTCCTTCGGGGCAAGTGGGGGAGACTTCCACATAGATCCACATATGCCTGACTCTCAAATCTGGAAGCCTGCCTCTGAGAAGGAATCCTTCTGTACCTAGCTGAATTTGAGAGGGGCTATCTTAGAGCCCATGGCCTAGAGATGTGTCTCTAGAAGTGATTCAGATACAGATCAGCAGCCTTGTGCCTCTGCATTGTGAGTGGCAGGCCCCGGTCTCTCCGGAAGCCCACCCTTAGCCCAGCCCAAGCACAGCCCAGGCACAGCCCCTTCAAGGAGGTGCTGTCCTGCCTCAAGTACTCGTGGATGGGTCTGAGTGGTGTGTGACTTTGTGACCGTCCTGCAGAGTGGAAGGGGAGAGGGCTCAGATCCTGCTTCTGCCGCTCCATGGCGTGTGTCCCTGGGTGTGCGACTTACCCTCTCTGGAACCTCAGTTTCCTCATCTGAAACGTGGAAAACAATCCAACCTTCCAGGCTGTCAGCACTGATTCCTGTAGCTGCTGTATCAAATGACCACAAACTTAGTGGATTAAAACAACACACATTTGTTGTCTTACAGTGCTGGAGGTCAGAAATCCTACTGGTTCCTTCTGGAGGCTCTAGAGGAGAATTATTGCCTTGCTTTTTCCAGCTTCTAGAGCTGCCCACGTTCCTTGGCTCCTGGTGCCTTCCAGCCTCTGCTCTTGTTATCACATCTCCTCTGTCTCGCACGTGCCTGCCTCCCTCTTGTGAGGACCCTACGATGACACTGGGTCCACCCAGATAATCCAGGATCATCTCTCATCTCAGATGCTTAACTCCTGCAGTCCCTTCTGCCCTGTAAGGTCACATGTTCACAGGATCTGGGGATTGGGACGTCAACATCTTTGGGGGGCCATATTCTGTCCACCACAGTCTACCCTCTGGCCCCTAAAGATTCCTGTCCGTCCTACGTGCATTTAAAATAGGTTCACCCCATTTTAAGGTCCACAAAACTCTTGGTTCATTACAGCATCAGCTCAGAGACCCAGATCTTATCATCTCAGTCAGGTTTGGGTGAGACATGGGGTTGTAGCTCGATAATGGTACTGTCACCTCGCCGACTGCACAGTGACATAAATCCTGTGGCTTATGTGGTGGCAGCAGGAGTATTATGGGCCACCGAAGTCCTGGTTCTTGAGAATACTTGACTGACTGCATGACCTTCGCTTCAGAGCAAACCTCCCTGAAGGTCTCCTGGTGCTCAGTCTCCGTGCTTGATATTTTCTGCCCTTCCCACTGGCTGCTGTGAGGTACTTCAAGCTTGGGCGCGACCTTCTTCTGAAACCCTGTTGCTGTGCAGGCAGCCTGGTAATCCATAGTGGCCTGGGAGCGTTCTGAGTGCTGCGTGTGTTTCAGTTACAGGAGCAAGCCAGAGCCCAGAAACAAACCCCGCCTGTGTCCCCCACTCCGCAGCCGGCTCAGGAGAGGCCGCCTTCAAGCCCTGTCTATCAGGTGGGTGTTTTCATTCAGTCTGCAAATGAGTCTCTGGCTCCTCAAAGACACCCTTCCCAGGTCAGTGCTGCTGTGGACGGAGAGGGGTCCCCTGCACCGCTCTGCCGGGTGCCCCTCTGGAGAGGGCGGCTCTCCTGAGTGCTGGGGGACACAGAGAGGCTGGGCGCACGTCCAGCCTCTCACCTCCGCGGCTGTCTTGACTGGGCTCTTGATGAGGCCCCCTCCTCACACAGCCTGCAGCCCCCCAGTGAGGTCTGACGCCAAACAGATGACTGTGGCCTGTAGCTCCCCTGTCCTCTGCTGCGTTTGCCGTGACCACCCCCCTTCTAGAATCCGCATCCCGGGCACCAGCTGCCGCTCTCCTCCTTGCACTGGCCTCCCTCTCCAGCTCTCCCTCTTGAATGTCGTGTTCTCCTGAGACTCTGTCCTCGGCCCTGTCTCAGTTGTGTCGTTGGTGCCTTGTGACACCCGTGTCCCCGGGGCCTGCTAACGTGGATCCCCCTCCGTTCTCTGAGTTACTGAGCTGCCTGCCTCACCTCACCCTCACTCCACCACGGGGTCTCTGCGTCTCCCTCTCTCACCTGAGAGGTGAGCACCTCCACCACCACCGTCCGTGACTCTACCCGGTTGAGCTCTGAATCCTGTCCCTTCTCTGTCCCCGTGACCACGGTCCTGGCTCACACACCCGTCTTGTCTCACCTGGGTATTCTCACTCGAAGACCGTTGAGTCGCAAGGGATGAAAACTAACTCAGCTCAGCTGAGACATAAGGTGGACGGGGATCCGGGGAGAGCAGTGGGATGGGCAGCTGGCCTGGGCCTGGGGTCCACGGTCTCGTCACCACCAGGTCTTCTCCTTGTGCTGCTGCTCCCTCTGCGTGGTGGCTGTATCTTTCTGGACTCCTGGGCAGGTGTGGTGGATGTGGTCTTATAATTCGTACTCCAGTGGAAAAGGGCCTGAGCCATCCCCCCTCGTCGTGTTCCACTGCTGGCCCGTCACTGAGAAGCTGGTCCTTTGAGAAGGCCAAGGTGACGTGCTGTCTCTAGTGGGGAGCCAGAGGTGTGTCTTGTGATTAGCAGCCCTTCCAGAACCATGTGATGGGGTGGGGGCAGAGGTGCCATTGCCGGAAGATAGGAGAATAGGGTGCTGCCAGGCAGCCCAACACGGTGTCCCCACACCACTGACCTGCTCACGGTGCCCCACACCAGTCACCTGCACAGGGTGCTGGGCAGCCAGCCTGGGGTGCCCCCCACACCATTAACCTGCTCACAGTGCCCCCACACCAGTCACCTGTGCAGGGTGCTGGGCAGCCAGCTCGTGCCCCCCACACCATTAACCTGCTCACAGTGCCCCCACACCAGTCACCTGCACAGGGTGCTGGGCAGCCAGCTCGTGCCCCCACTCCATGGCCTGGCCTTTAACCCTCCAGTCTGTTCCCTTCGCATCCACAGGAAGCTTGCCAAAAGGAGACTCTGGCTCTGTCCCTCCCTGTTTAACCCTTGAGTGGCTCCTGGTACCTAGCCCGGAGGTGGGGTCCCCTCTCTGACCTCCACAGCAGCTCTCCCAGCCTGCCTGCACTGCACGGGTCACCCTCCATTGAAAGGGCCTGAGCAGTGGCCCTTACTGGAGCTTCTCCGTGTGCCCTGCTTTCTCTAACTCCCGAGGGCGCCTTCAGGTGGACCCTCATTGGAAATGCTGATGAAAGCCACCATTGATGATTAATGGTTCAGAACTTGGGTCAGAGCTCAGAAGTCCCATGATTGTGACCCAGGTGTGGTGATTCCCTCCTGCACGTGACCATTTGCTCCCTCACTCACCTCACTGTCCACCAGAGGATTTGGTTAGGACAGACCTCCGCTGTCCGTGGGCTTGCCTGCTCTGGCAGTGTGACGGGGTGACATTGTGAAGCTGCTGTCAGAGGTGCAGGAGGGCTGGGTGGCCCTCGTGTGCTTGGGTGGCCTCAGAGGTCTGGGGTCTGAAAAAGAAACAGGGCAAACCTGCCCAAGAGAGACCGGCCTGAGCCGCAGGCAGCAGCACGAGAAGGGCACAGCTCCTGACAGGCCGTGTGGGTTCCAGATACTGTGGGATTTGGGGGTGTTGGGGGGTGGTGAGGACGGGGATTATCTGGGAAGAATTGGCACGTGGTCCTCTCAACACGCTTTACCACGATTAGAATCCAGGCAGTCTCAATGCCTCCCTATCCCCACGTCTGTTTTCTCAGTCTCAGGACTGAAAAGTAGTCTGCGTGTTTCTCTTGGCCGCGGCAGTGACCTGCACGGCCGCGTGAACTGTCTCCCTGCCTCTTTCCCAGGACGCGGCTTCGTTCAAGGCCGAGCCGAGCTACAGAGGCCCCGTGAGCGAGCCCGAGCCGGAGCCGGGGCCCGAGCCCGTGTACAGCACGGAGGCCGCCGACTACCAAGAGGCCGACAGCCAGCAGGGTCCGGCCTACGCCCCGGAGGCCGTCTATGAAACCACAGAGGCCCCGGGCCACTATCAAGCAGGTACGGAGGTCTCCTGTGTTGCAGGGGTGGGGGGTGCCCCTGTTAAATTCCCCTGTGGCTCTGTTCCCCTGTGAGAATGGCCTGTTTCCCCGATGCCTGACCTGCCCCCCCTCTACTGCACCTACAGGGTCTTTATTTTCCCTGGGACAGGCTCTAGACCCAGGGGGCTGGGCAAGGCCTCCCGTGGGGGTTCCAGGAAGATGTCTGCTTGGGTTGGGAATCTGAAAGTTTTATAGATATTTCAGTTGAATGAACAGTAGAAGTGGTCTCTTATTTTTAAAGGTGAGGTTTCCTTTAACGTATTTGGACAGATTTAACATAAGCCCCTTCTCCCACCTGGAGTAACATGAAAGTCAGTATCAGAGAAGGGACGTCAGGGTGAAGCTTTTCCCTGTCCCCAAGTGTGACGTGGGGTATTTGACCAGCTCTGTCTCCTGCTTGCTATTTCCTTATGGTATGACCTTTCCTAAAATTAGTGCTAAATATTTAAAAGTTTAAAAATTATCCTCTGAAAACTGTCACGATTTCCATCAAGATAATTATATTCGCCAGGTGCTGTCGGAGTTGGGAACGGGTGGATTTGCTCCTTAAAAGCTGGAGTCCTTCTGTTGACGGAAGGGGGACTGTCCCACAGTTCATCTTCCCCAGTAGCCCTCAGCGCCCCGACTCTGCCTCCACCCCACCCTCAGGGAGGGTGTCTAACCAGAATATGAACACGGCTGAGCACGCTTATGGCACTGGGGTTATCGCTCAGAGCTCCTCTTGGTTTATTTTAGAGGAAAGCACCTACGACGAGTATGAGAATGATCTGGGGATCACAGCCATCGCCCTCTACGACTACCAGGCTGGTGAGAGACTGCAGCATGCCACCCACGGGGGAGGGGGACGGCACACCGGTCCCACTTTATACGCATTTTTCCAGGACTCCTCTCTTAAAAATCTGACTTTTAGAGCGTTATTATGGTTTTTAAAAGTAATTTACTTTGAAATAATTTCAAAGTTACAGAAAATTACTCTCATATCTCCCTCAGCCTGCTTCCACCTCTCTCCATCTCTACACACACACACGCGCACACACATGCATGCGCGTGCACCCGCACCCCGTAAGCACACCCCACCTTCGAAGTGAGAAAGTCACCAGTGAAACACCACGACGTCTGCAGGCAGGTCACGTTTTACTAGCGTCCCAAGAACTCGGGTCCTTTTGGGGCCGATTCTTCGCGTTTCCCTGTCACTTCTCTCCATCCCCTCCGATCTGGAGCAGCCCGCAGCCTCCACCTGCCCTTCCAGTCCTTGGCCCCTTTCATTCTGTGCTGACGCCCGCCTGGCTGAGGCCACGCTCTCGTGGCAGGAGGACCACAGAAATGCTGCGTACTCCTGACCCTGTACCACGTCAGGGCACGCGGCGTCCATCCGTCTGTCCCACGCCGTGGTGCTGGCCGCCCTCACCTGTCCATGGGTGCTGGCCAAGTTCTCCACCGCAGTCGCCGTTTCTCCCTTTGTGGCTGATGTGTTTTGTGGATCCCCCAGACCCTGTTCACCCTCCTCAGACTTCCAGCTGCAGCCCCGTGGACACCAGCCCCGGTGGAGTGGGGCCCCCCTTTCCGTCCTTCCTTCTCATCGTGGGATTGGTGTTCTGCTGTGGGAAGAGCTTTCCTTCGCACTTAACCTATGTGTACACCCAGCATTTGTTTCCATGTGTGTGGGTCCTGAAATTTCCATGTCTGTGTTATTTTTGAACTGCCTGAGTTTATCCCGGTACCTCCCGTTGCAGCCTGTTGCCTTCTTTCTGGGCTCTCTCTTCGTATTGTAAGGACCTCCCCAGAGCGAGAAGCCTGGCTCTCAGGAGCCTCGCAGCCATGGCTGCTCCACACCCCCGTGAACTTGGGGGCTGGTGGTCACCCTCCCCTACTCCCCGACCAAGGACAAGCCCTCCCCCTGCCTGGAGGGGAAGAGAGGGGGAAGGAAGCGAGTGACCGTGCTGTGAACCACTCCTGAAGGATCGGGTGTGGTGTGGGCTGTGTCTCCTTTGGAGGGCTCTGCTACCCGTGTGGCCGCCCCATTTGTGTGCGCAGATCCAGGCCTCACTAGGTGATGGAGACAGTGAAGCCTCCCCACTCTGAGCCCCAGCAGGAGGCCGCCAGCTCCCCGAGTGGCTGCAGAGGGAGCTGGTTCCTGATGGTTCTGCCCTGTCCGGCAGACCAGGAAACGTCGAATTTCACTGTCGCTTTCTTGTGTCCTCTTCCGTAGCGGGCGATGATGAAATCTCCTTCGACCCCGATGACATCATCACCAACATCGAGATGATCGATGACGGCTGGTGGCGTGGGCTGTGCAAGGGCAGGTACGGGCTCTTCCCGGCCAACTACGTGGAGCTGCGCCAGTGAGCGGCGCTCGCTTCTCGCGCTGCGGATCATGCCTGGCTTGTGCTGGGTTTTTCAGGGTGGGGAGGGGAGGATACATATTGCTTTTATATTTAATACTTTTGCTGATGCTTTTGAAATGTTTATGCCACAGAATTTGCTAATATATTGTAATCATGTTCCTTAGGAGGACTTGGGTAATTGTTTTTCTGCGTTGAAGGTATTTTCTTTTTTTGCTACATTGACTCATGTGGAGCCACTTCAGGGGCGTTTAGTTCTCCGGAGTGCATGCTGTCCTGGCCCCCATCCTCGGCAGTCGGGACCCCCGTGACAAATGCGAGAGATCTTTCACTGCCTTGCCTGCCGCTCTTTGACGGCCGTGTGGGGTCAGGCAGGAGTCGCTGTCCTCGTCAGGGAGGCTCTCTGGGGTCTCAGAGTTGGGAGGAAGAGGGAAGGGCCTGATAGAAAGTTAGAACTGAGAGAAATCGCTAGAAAGTACGAGAGCTTTAATGTCAGGTGGTGAAGCCTTTCGTACTGTGAAATCCCATGGTATTTGATGAGTTGTAGCAAAGACCCCGTCTCTCCTGTGTCTCGCTTCTCATCCCACCCTTGTTCTCTCGTCTCCCCTGACGTCCCGGCCACCGCTCCTCCTGCCCCGCAGTGCAGTGTCACTCTGTCCCTTAAAGGGGACAGTCCCAGGCTGTCCCCCTCCTTGTGTCAGCTCCCGGGTCTGAAGGCCTCGGCTCGCCTGCCCTCGGCTTGCCCGCCCTTGGCTATGTCTTGTCGAGGCCCGGGCAGCCGGGGCTGTGTGTCTGTTGTGTGGGCCAGCGGCCCCTCACTGCGGAAAGGCAGGTGCCTTCTCTGTTGTAAACTGCCAGAACGTTCTTCCCGTCAAGGGAGTCGTGCACTTTTTGCCAAAATATCATGTTAAATGATGGTAAAATTTGATTGATTGACTTGGCTAAAAATACAAAGTGAACAAGAGCAAGTGCTCTGACCCGAGACACTCCGGGCGGCTGCTCTCTGGACGCTGGGTGGGAGCGCATCGCCCCCTGAGAGACCAGGAGGCCCGGTCAGCGTGTGTGCGCACAGGCAGTGTCTTTCCAGAAGATCAGGTAGCAATGTCTCAGGTGTTCGGGACGTTAATGACTGTATGGATGTGTTTTCTTTCCTGAAGTGCATTTCTGCATACTCCTTCCTTTACCACAATTAGGTCGGGTTTTATATGCAATTATTGTATCTAAATCTCTGTAGCACACTCATAGGTATGATTTTTTTAATTAAATATTCGAAATAAACTTTTTTTGATCCACTGATTCACTTGGTATTTGGTCACTCTGTCCGACACGGAGGGTGGCTCCACCATCCGTGCCCTGCTACTCCCTGACCCCGTGGGTCAGCACCTTCCATTTATCAGCTCTAGACCAACGAGAGTCCCTTTGAACGAGGCATGCTCCTGAAAAGGTGCTTTTCAGGAGGTGAAATGTATTTACTCTCTTGAATTGTCAATTTTTTGGACAAAGATTCCAAGGAAAATAGAAAATGTTGTGTTTAAAAATAATTTCTGAATTACAGTTCTCAAAATAAATCCCGAGGTGGTTGCAATGTAGCTAAAGGTATTATCTTCCTTTGGGGCATGCATGGTAAGTAAACGTCTCAAGGAAACGGTGGCGCAGAGCAGAGGAGCTGGTGGCTTGGAGGCCTTGCCGCCCAGGCTTCTGCACTGCCTTGGGCCCACCACTGGCCGGGGTTAGCTGAGAAGCAGCCGGTGAACGTAGGGTGTGGGGAGGCTGGTGAGGACACGGGGGGCAGACGGCCTCAATAACAAATCCAGATCCCCCAGCTGAGTGCTCGTCCACTTCTGGTCATGCAGGTTTCTGCTTTTGAGCCCTGACACAGTGGCAGAGGGGTCCTCATGCTGTCCATAGACCTGACTCCTCAGTTTCCATGGCGATGGGTGGGGCTCTCCTTGTGGGCTGCTCACAGATGATGTGGCAGAACTAGAGCTTTGAAACTTCTGGAAAAGCCGCTGTCACCATCCTGGGAAGAAATGGGAGAACGATGCAGATCATAGACATTCCAGGTTAGTGCGTTCTTCCCATTTATAGGAGCTGGGTGTCACCCTTGGCCACCACAGGTAATTGAGAGACAGGCCCCAAGACCTGAGTCTCCCCTGCAGCCAATTCTCTCTTCCTAATCTTGTCAGGTCCTTCTCACCATCTGGCTGGCTTGTGTCCTGCGGGTTCTCCCTGCAGCCCGGGGCCAGTGGCTGCTGTCTCCCCAGCCCCCGGGAGCTGGAAATATTCGGGACTAGACATTATGAAAAGCCTCTTGTCATAAAACACCAAAAATGTTAGATAAATTGTAACAAACATCTTTTAAATGTAGAATCGATCTTGTGAGAAGGTTAAGAACATCAGGGGACAAAACAAGAGGAAGCAGCAACAGAACGGAAAGCCAGCCCTGAGGTCCTGATTACCACGAGGTCATCACTTTGTCAATATCTGGAACCTAGAGCCTTGGGGTTTGCCTGGCATGCGGGAGCAGGAGATACGGATTTAGGTCCAGCAAGGTGCATGGTTGGAACAGGACCCGAATAAGTCTGGGGTCCTTAAGGGGACGTTGCCTGAAGGAAAGGGTGGGAGAGTAAAAATCTGCCCGTTGGCAAAGAGAGATACTTCCATCACTTGTCTGTCTGGTCCTCAGATCTGGGTGGGGAAAAAGAGCTTCTGTGATATCTGGTCAAGATTTTGCCTAAAGGAAATGAATGACTGATGCAAAGAAGTGGAAAGGGCAGGCTCAAGGAGGATTCCCTACCCGGCGTGGGTTGAATGGGGAAGAGGAAGAGCGGTTAGGTGAGACAGTTCCCCAGACAAGCCACTAGATGGTGCCATCAGCTCAGCACAGCTTGGTTGCCCTCTCGTTGAGCAAAGATTTCCTACTTATTCCTGCCTCTGCTTAGGAATTGGTGATGCAGAGATAAAAGAGACAGTCTCAGTTAATGCATAGACAGCAGGCTAGTGGTTGCCAGGGAAGTGGGGAGTGACTGCTAATGGGAATGGGGTTTCCTTTTGGGGTGATGGAAATGTTCTGGAGGGGCCAGCCCCGTGGCTTAGTGGTTAAATGCACGTGCTCCGCTACTGGCGGCCTGGGTTCAGATCCCGGGCACGCACCGACGCACCGCTTCTCCGGCCATGCTGAGGCCGCGTCCCACATACAGCAACTAGAAGGATGTGCAACTATGACGTACAACTATCTACTGGGGCTTTGGGGAGAAAAGGGAAAAAAACAGGAGGAGGATTGGCAATAGATGTTAGTTCAGGGCCAGTCTTGCTCAGCAAAAAGAGGAGGATTGGCATGGATGTTAGCTCGGGGCTGATCTTCCTCACAAAAAAAAAAAAAAGAAAAAAGGAAATGTTCTGGAACTAGATAGAGGTGGTGGTTGCACAACATTGTGGACGTACAAAATGCTGTTGAATTGTACACAAAATTGGTGAACGATTTTAAAAAAGAATATGAGAGAGAGAGAGACAGTCTCAATCCTGAAGTTTGTGGGTGTAGGGACAAACAGATGTTCCTGATACCACGTGAAAGGCATGGGTGCCGTGGGCATCCAAATGACAGTGGGTGGGTGGAGTCAAGGATTCTGGGATGAGGTCAAGCTTGAGCTGCGTCTTGGAGGACAAGTCCAAGAAGCGGGTGTTCTAAGCAGAAGGACTAGGAGGTCAAAGACCATGTATGAACAAGGGATTCCATATTCCTGGAACCTCGGATGTATGCGGAGAATGGTGAACACTGAGCCTAGACACACAGGCAGGGCCAGATCATAAAAGGCTTTATAGGCCACTTAAGAAGATTGGGTTTTGTTCTAAGTGCGGAGAGGAGTTATTGGAGACTTTTAAGCCCTAAAGTGACCTGATCTGTTTTCTTAGAAGGATCATTCAGGCACAACATTTAACTTCTCAGCACCAAAGTCCTTAAAGATGAATGTCATAAATAAAAATAACTTTTGGGGGTCTGGCCCCATGGCATAATGGTTAAGTCCAGCATGCTCTGCTTAGGTGGCCTGGGTCTGTGAGTTTGATCCTGGGCGTGGACCGACACCACTCATCAAGCTATGCTGTGGTGGTGACCCACATACAAAATAAAGGAAGATTGGCACAGATGTTAGCTCAGAGCCAATCTTCCTTGCCAAAAAAAAACCAAACCTAAATTTTTAGAATTTAACCTTTTGTGTTTCCAGGGTTATTACCTTTTGCCGTGTGTACTCTCCAGGAAAAAAAGAGGCCTCATTTTCCATTTACTGAAAACACAATATTATTTGTATTTCTAAAAAAACATTTTTCAATTGGTGAGAATGTGGGATTGGAGTTGATGTTGGATTCTCTATTCTGTTCCATTGATCTGTTTATCTGTGTTTCTCCCAATACCACACAGTCTTGATTACTGTGGCTATATAAGTCTTGAAATTGGGTAGACTGATTTCTCTCACTTTATTCTTCTTTTTCAAGAATTGTTTTAGCTATTATAATTGCTTTGCTTTCTCATATAAATCTTAAAATAACCTTGTTTATATCTGCAAAAAATCTTGCTGGGATTTTGATAGGAAATACGTTAAACCTGTATATCAATTTGAGGAGAATTGATGTTTTCACAATGTAGAGCTTTCTAATACATAAACATGATATTTCTTTCCACTTACTTAGATATTTGTTCACTTACTTCATCTGCATTTTATAGTTTTTGGCATACAAGTCTTGTATGTGTTTTATTAGATCTACATCTAAGTATTTTATTTATTTTTTAGCAATCATAAATGTCATTGTATTTTTAATTTTGGTGTACACATATTCATTGCTAGTCTATAGAAGTACACTTGATTTTTGTATATTTATCTTTTATCCTGCAACCTTCCTAAACTACCTTAAAGTATTAGAAAGTTTTTTTGTAGATTCTTTGGGATTTTCTGCATAGGCAATCGTATCATCTGCAAAATGGGACAGTTTCATTTCTTCCTTTCTGATCCGTATGCCTTTTATTTCCTTTTCTTGCCTTATCGCACTGGCTAGAACTTCCAACACTATGTTGAGAAGAGTGATGAGAGTGGACATCCTTGTTCCCAATCCTAGGAGCAAAGCATTCAGTCTTTCACCAGTAGGTATAGTGTTAGCTGAGGTTCTTTGTAGACATTCTTTCTTAAATTGAGGAAGTTGATCCCTCCCGTTGTCTCTTCTCACATCCCTTTACCCTCCCCCTGTATAATAGTATTGACTTGAATATTTCCTTTAGTCCTACCTTCATCCATAAACTGTGCAATGATGTTGTCTCCGCCAGTTGCCAAAATGGCTTCCATGGTCCTCACCTTGTCACATCACCTGCCCTTGTGCTGCCCCTTCCTACACAGAATAGGGCTGACCTGTGTAATGATAGGATACTGTAAAAATTGGCAGAGTGCCACTTCCAAGTGCAGATCATAAGAGATGCTGCAGTTTCTGCCTTGCTCTCTTAGATCATTTGCTCTGAGAGAAGCCAGCACCCTGTCATAAGGAAGTTCAAACAGCCCTTTGGAGAGGTCAAGGTGGCAAGAACTGAGGCCTCCTGCTGACTGCCATGTGACTGCGTCACCTTGGAAATGAATCCTCCATCCTCCACAGATCCTGGCCAGTACCCTGACGGAAACCTCATGAGAGCCTCTGAGCCAGAACCACCCAGCTAAGCTGCTCCCAAATTCCTGACTTCAGAAACAGTGTGAGATAATCAAGGTTTATTGCTGCTTTATGCCACTAAGCTTTGGGGTTATTTGTAAGGCATCAATACGTAACTACTGGAGACGTTTCAGTTTCTTATTTGAATCCAGCAAAGAAGGGGCATGGGCTCCCTTATAGAAAATGTTGCTATGCTGAAGGGCATATCCTCATACCATCTGCAGGGGGGCAGCATTTAGGCCATTCATCAACATGTATAAAATGCCCTTTAACCCCACAGTTCCATTTCTAGGACTTATCCTGGATATACTTGCATGTGCGCATAAATGTCCATCCACAAGGGGCTGTTAGATAGAGTGTGGAGCATCTGTGCAAAGGAACCGGACAGCTTATCAAGAACAAGTGACACCTGGGAGCCATCGCCAAGCTACAGTGTCAGCTAACAAAGGCGCACGGTCTTGTGGGGTAATTTCCAGTAGCATTATTCCTATGACTCAGCAATTCCAGTCCTGGATGGGCACCCAAGAGATGCTCTCATATACCGCACATGGGTTTTCACAGCAGAATTGCTTTTTTGTTTTTAAAGTAAACTTTTAATTTGGAATAATTTCAGGTTTATAGAAAAGTTGTAAATTTAATGTGGAGAATTCTTGTGTACCCCCTCCCAGTTTCCCCTAAGATTAACCTCTTACTTAACCATGGTCCATTTATGAAAACTAAGAAATTCACGTTGGTACAACACTATTAACTAAATGACAGACATTTCATACGTTTTTCTATGAATGTTCTTTTTCTGTTTCAAGCTCTAATCTAGGATCCCACATTACATCTAGGGTCGCACGATTTTAGAAAATTGTTTTTTTTCCCTAAAAAACAGATTTATGGAGATATAATTTGCCTACCATATAATTCACCTATTTAGAGTGTACAATTCAATAACTTTTAGTGTATTGACAGAATTATGGAAATATCACCACTATCTAATTCCAGAACATTTTTATCACCCAAAAAGAAACCCCATATCTATTATCAGTCACGCCTTGTTCCTCTCCCCCCCGGCCCCAGGCAACCACTAATTTACTTTCTGTTTCTATGGATTTGTCTATTCTGGACATTTCATATAAATGGAATCATACAATATGTGGTAATTTGTGACTGGCATCTTTCACTGAGCATAATGATGAAAAACATTGTTTTTATCGTGAAAAAATTAGAAATAATCTAAAGATCGATCAACAGGTGAAAGAATAAATTTTGATGTATTCATATAATGAGATACTATTCTGTTGTTGAACGTGAATGGTTTAGAGCTGCATCTGTCATCTGTGATGAATATCCAAAGTAGTATTGAATAAAATAAGCCAGGCAGGATTCCTGATCGCCAGTAATTATAATACCAGTGATGATGGCAGCCAACACAGAATTGGGTGGTGACTAAGTGCCAGCCACTGTTCTCTTTGTGAAGATTGCTAATTTGTCATGCATGAAGTAGAGACCATTTATGTAAGGTTTTAAAGTGCGCACAATGACACTACATATTGTTTATGGACACATACATAAGCAATAAATGTCTTAAAACCTGCATAGAAATGATAAACGCCAAGTTCAGGGCAGGGGTGACCTCTGGGGTGGGAGGAGGGGGGTGGAACCAGGAGGGAGATGCATGAGACTTTGAGTGTACTTGTAACGTTTGATTCTTAAGCTGGGTGGGGAACATGGGTGTTCGTAATTCCCCATCCTTTAGTTGTGCCCAGTGTATTTCATCAGAATTTTAAAAGGAGCAAGACTAGTACAGAGCAGTGTGTAGAATGAGCTGTATTTGGGTTTTTTAAGTGATTCACACACATATGCTCGCAGACATATGCACCAGGCCAGAGAAGAATCACAAGGAATCCTTAATAGGTGCCAGCTTTGGGGAGGAGCCGCCAGGGTTTGGGGAGCCCAGGGGAAATGGAGACAACGCTTTTTCCTGAGACCTTTTGAATTTTGTACCACACGTATTTTTACCTCTTGATTAAAAAGATAATCCAACCTATGTTTGTTTATTCCCTTTTGTGTTGGCGAGCAGATTCCCATGCAGGACCTCATGTAACTCCACAAGTTCCTGGGCCACAGCCATCCTCAGCCCACATTTCAGATGAGGACACTGAGGAGACCAGAGGTTGCTTGGTTCATTGACTGGTGGTTGGTACAGGTGGGAACCAGGTGGTTGGTTCTCAGACGAGTTCGTCCCACCCGGACAGTGAAGCTCGGCGGGTGGGTCACCCAGGGTAAATCCTTGGCACAGGAGGACGGAAGTGGCCTCCGGTCCACGATGCCCTCCCTCCGAGCATTTATCATGGGCAGATGAGCTGCCCACAGAGGCATCTACACGCAGAGCTCAGCAACCTGTAGAGCCATCGCCCCTGGGAGAGTGGAGCGTGGGCTCAGTGCCACCGGGCCACATGGGACATGGCAGAGTTTCAGCCGTCCCCTGACGCTGCACAGCTGGAAGGTTGGGGGTAGGTTTATTCTGCAAGAGGTCACTTTAGGGAAGGGGCTTTCAAACTTTAGCAGGCCTGGGGGCCACCTGGAGGGCTTGTCAGCCCACAGGTCATGGGGCCCCTCCCAGAGCTTCAGGTCCAGCAGGTGGGGGAGGGGCAAGAACTTGTGTCTCTAACCAGATCCCAGGTGGCCCCGATGCTGCCAGTCCAGGGACCAGACTTTGAGAACTGCTCCCTTAGAGCTTCCTCTTCTGTGAATGATGAACTGATGGAGCCACAGAGGCTGTCTGGGTGCTGGCAGTTCCAGACGGCAGATGCGGTATATAAACTGTCCCTGCCACAGAAGGCGCCTGTGCACCAGGGCTGCCCTCGGAGTCGTGGCTTCAGTCCTTTCATCTGTCACCCACCGCTCACCCTGTCCCGTTGACCATGAATAACAGTTACTCGGGGCAGTTTCTTAAACTTCTCTTAAGATCCACCTAGGAGTGTGCTAGTGACACAGATTCCTGGGCTTCCTTCTGTTAAAAATAAAATAAACAGAGACCAGGCTTGAAGATCCTGAGAAGACAAAGCCAGTTAAGCCGTGTAAGCAAAACTGAATCTAGCTTACTTCATGAAAGTAAGCAGAACCTAGGTTCTTTATCGTGAATGCCTCTGATAATCATATATGAAACCCAAGTTGTCTTCCCAGAGTGGTATAAGATAGTCATTTTTAACCAATCTCCTGCTGTCTGGAAACCCCCATTGTAATAAGCAATCATTCTGGCTTTCTAAGCCCTCCTGTACTGACACGCCTCTGAGCTTCATACCACTTTCAGGGTTGAGGTCTTTCTTTTCGAGACCAGTTTGTTTATCCCTCAATAAAGTATTCATATGAGTAAAGCTCTCTGAATTTTGACACTTCCTGCTGAACCCAGGTGCCCGGGAGGAGGCCTGGTACTCTGGGCTCTGCCTTCTCACAAACCTTCCCTCCTAGCCTCAGGGAGGTGAAACAGGCCAGTCCAGACCAGTCTCACCAGCAGTGCCTGGGGCTTGTTGGAAATGCAGAGTCTTTATCACCCAAACCTGTCCCCGGGGGCCTGGACTCCACATGTAAGTGTGAGATAGAGCTTGGCCCGAATACCTCCAAGATGTGCAACCTATAGAATACCTCCAAGATGTGCAACCTATAGAAACGGGAGACCTCAGAAGTCGCCAGGGTGGAGCCCTCATACACTGCCAGTGGGAATGTAAAATGGTGCAGCCATTGCAGAAAACAGTCTGGTCATTCCTCAACAGGTTCAACATAGAGTTACCATAGGACCCCACAATGCCGCTCCTAGGGTACGCCCCAAAGAACTGAAAACAGGGACTTAAATGAATACTTGTATACTTGTGTTCACAGCAGCACTATTCACACTAGCCAGAAGGTGGAGACAACCCACATGTCCATCAACTGACAAATGAATAAACAAAATGTGGTCTATCCACACAAGGGATTATTTCTCAGCCATAAAGGGGATGCAGCCAATGACACACACTACAACATGGATGACCCTTGAAAACGTGATGCTCAGTGAAAGAAGCCAGACCCCAAAGGCCACAACATATTGTATGATTCCATTTACATGAAATGCCCAGAAAAGGCAAATCCATAGAGACAGAAAGTAGATTAGTGGTTGCCAGGGGCTGGGGACATGGGGGAATGGGGACAGGGTTTCTGTTTGCGTGATGGGACTAGAGAGTGGTGGTGGTTGTACAACATTGTGAAGGTATTCAGTGCCATTCTAAGTGGAGTGTACACTTAGAAATGCTCAGTGAGGACACTCTACCTGGACAGTCAGGACCACATCTGTCACTTGCCCACCCATTCCTCTTCTGCCTTGCTAACACAGCCCCAATTTTGTTCCTGGCAGCACTCTGCCAAGCTAACTGTTTTATTTCCCAGTCTGCCTTGCTTCTAGGGGTGGCCATGGACACCATCGTGGTGATGACATGTGGATAGATGTTCCTGGGCAAGTGTTGGCTTCCCTGTTAAAGGGGGACAGACACGGCTTACATCGTCTTCCCCTCTTCCTTCTGCCTTGGAAGAGAATGTGATGTGTGAAGTGGCAGCAGCCTTTTGTTGCTGTGAGGCTGATAAGTTTGAGGGAAAGGCTGAGAGAATCTCAGGCTTGACAATGTTAAGCTGTCAGATCAAAGCCAGGGACCACACTCACCTAGCGTCCTGTCATTCATCCACTCTACCAACACATACTTATTCCAGAACATTCTGTTCTAAGTGCTGGGGCAGTGAACAAAGACAAAATTCCCACCCTCCTGGAGCTTACATTTTTGTGTCACATGAAAAGAATGAAGCACTATTTGTCTAAGCCACTTTTATTTTATTTTATTTTGTGAGGAGATCAGCCCTGAGCTAACATTCGCCAATCCTCTTTTTTTTTGCTGAGGAAGATTGGCCCTGGGCTAATATCTGTGCCCATCTTCCTCCACTTTATATGGGAAGCCGCCACAGCATGGCTTGCCAAGCAATGCGTCGATGTGCGCCTGGGATCCGAACTGGCAAACCCCAGGCCACCGCAGTGGAGTGCGTGCACTTAACCACTTGTGCTGCCGGGGCGGCCCTAAGCCACTTTTAAATGGGCTTTGCAGCCAAAAGTGGTTCTTTGCAGCCAAATATGGTATTAACTGATACAACTATTATTTAAATTGATCTGCTTCCAGGGATAAGAGTGAAGATGTTCCCAGCTGTGTTAAGTCGCCCTGGCCATGTAGCTAACAAGCCCCTGAACTTGGATGTGGACACGGGTTTCTTGAGCCTGGACCCCAGACTCTGTTTCTTATTTACATGCTTATTTACCTGTGTGCACAGAACCTGCTCTGTGTCTGTCCCCAGGGCTGAGGCATGTGCACAGCAGCAGAGTGGTGGTCTAAAGACCACCTCTGAGAGCTGAGTGTGAGATGATGCTGTCACAGCGAAAATTGGAAATTACTCTTCACTTCCAACTAAAAGAGGCCAGTCAGGGAAATTATGCTGTTCCCACTAAATGAGATATCTCATCACCATTGCCATAAAGAGTTGGGGACACCACAACCACCTGACGAAGGCTTAGGGGGTAAAAGAACGCCAAGAAAGCCGGAACCAGAAGTACAAGTGCATTATGATTCAAGCTAAGGTCAGAAAAGATGGGTGTGAAAAGACGGAAGGTGTTATGTACCCCTAGACTCTAACACAGTCGGCTGGCGGGACTGTGGGTAATTCTCTATTTCTCAATGTGCCCCCACGTGGCTGAGGCTTTGAAAGTCAAACAACAAATTCGTGAAGACAAGGGGCCTCAAACGTGTGCTCCCCAGTGGGCAAGCGGGTGTGGCATCCTGCCCGGGCCCCAGGACACCGCGCTCTAGGGCACTGTCCGTGTCCTACGCCCAGGGAGTCTCCTCCGGCGGGACAGCTGCAGAGACGGCGAGGGGACAGGTCGGGTGGACACAGGCTCTTGGACCACGCTACCCGCAGGCCACGTGGCAGCACCAACGGCGAAGTCAGGACTGCTGCGCTGAAAGGGACCCCAGCTGGAGCTCTTGG